GCGAGGCAGATGGAGAATAGAGTTGTTTGGCTGGACAGAGGGACAGCTAGGGTGTGTGTGGCTGTACTGATGGAAAGCAGGGGTGTGGGGCTGGACAGACGGACAGTGTGTGCGGGCGTATGGCCGGAAGATGGAGACAGACAGACAAACAGCTGGGGCACGTGTGGCTGGACGGACGGACAGCAGGAGACTGTGTGTGTGGCTGGACATATAGATAGCTGAGTTGAGCATGTCTCTGGACCGATGGACAGCAGGGGTTTGTGGCTGTAGAGACACTGAGGAAGCGGGGGTGGACAGATAGCTAGGGTGAGTGTCTGGGAACACCAGCGGCCAGGCTCCTCCCCTGGCAAGGCAGCAGCATCCAGTGAATTTCCAGAGTAACTTCCTCAAGGTGCTGCCTTCTGCACTGTGTCCCTGCATGGCCGGCCGCATCCCTACACTGAATCCATGCATGGCCTGCTGCATCCCTGCACGCTCTGTCCCTGCACAGCCTGCTGCATCCCTGCACTGCACACAGCATCCCTGCACGTCTGCGCGGCCGGATGCATCCCTGCACGCTCTGTCCCTGCACAGCCTGCTGCATCCCTGCACTGCACACAGCATCCCTGCACGTCTGCGCGGCCGGATGCATCCCTGCACGCTCTGTCCCTGCACAGCCTGCTGCATCCCTGCACTGCACACAGCATCCCTGCACGTCTGCGCGGCCGGATGCATCCCTGCACGCTCTGTCCCTGCACAGCCTGCTGCATCCCTGCACTGCACACAGCATCCCTGCACGTCTGCGCGGCCGGATGCATCCCTGCACGCTCTGTCCCTGCACAGCCTGCTGCATCCCTGCACTGCACACAGCATCCCTGCACGTCTGCGCGGCCGGATGCATCCCTGCACGCTCTGTCCCTGCACAGCCTGCTGCATCCCTGCACTGCACACAGCATCCCTGCACGTCTGCGCGGCCGGATGCATCCCTGCACGCTCTGTCCCTGCACAGCCTGCTGCATCCCTGCACTGCACACAGCATCCCTGCACGTCTGCGCGGCCGGATGCATCCCTGCACGCTCTGTCCCTGCACAGCCTGCTGCATCCCTGCACTGCACACAGCATCCCTGCACGTCTGCGCGGCCGGATGCATCCCTGCACGCTCTGTCCCTGCACAGCCTGCTGCATCCCTGCACTGCACACAGCATCCCTGCACGTCTGCGCGGCCGGATGCATCCCTGCACGCTCTGTCCCTGCACAGCCTGCTGCATCCCTGCACTGCACACAGCATCCCTGCACGTCTGCGCGGCCGGATGCATCCCTGCACGCTCTGTCCCTGCACAGCCTGCTGCATCCCTGCACTGCACACAGCATCCCTGCACGTCTGCGCGGCCGGATGCATCCCTGCACGCTCTGTCCCTGCACAGCCTGCTGCATCCCTGCACTGCACACAGCATCCCTGCACGTCTGCGCGGCCGGATGCATCCCTGCACGCTCTGTCCCTGCACAGCCTGCTGCATCCCTGCACTGCACACAGCATCCCTGCACGTCTGCGCGGCCGGATGCATCCCTGCACGCTCTGTCCCTGCACAGCCTGCTGCATCCCTGCACTGCACACAGCATCCCTGCACGTCTGCGCGGCCGGATGCATCCCTGCACGCTCTGTCCCTGCACAGCCTGCTGCATCCCTGCACTGCACACAGCATCCCTGCACGTCTGCGCGGCCGGATGCATCCCTGCACGCTCTGTCCCTGCACAGCCTGCTGCATCCCTGCACTGCACACAGCATCCCTGCACGTCTGCGCGGCCGGATGCATCCCTGCACGCTCTGTCCCTGCACAGCCTGCTGCATCCCTGCACTGCACACAGCATCCCTGCACGTCTGCGCGGCCGGATGCATCCCTGCACGCTCTGTCCCTGCACAGCCTGCTGCATCCCTGCACTGCACACAGCATCCCTGCACGTCTGCGCGGCCGGATGCATCCCTGCACGCTCTGTCCCTGCACAGCCTGCTGCATCCCTGCACTGCACACAGCATCCCTGCACGTCTGTGCGGCCGGATGCATCCCTGCACGCTCTGTCCCTGCACGGCCTGCTGCATCCCTGCACTGCACACAGCATCCCTGCACGTCTGCGCGGCCGGATGCATCCCTGCACTGCCTGCTGCGTCCCTGCCCACTATGTCCCTGCATGGGCTGCTGTGTCCTTGTGCAGTGAAGCTCAGGAGTGCGCGGGTGTGGGCAGGGGTGAGCTCCCGGGCAGACCCCCCCTCCAGTCACTGCACACAGGGGCTGGGGAGCCCCACTACAGCCTGACTCTCAGGCCACATCCCACCAAAGCGTTTGGAGTTGCCCCACCCCCGCCCCTCTGGGGCACTGCTCCTCTCCCAGCCACACCCTCCCCCCACAAAGCCAGGCCTCTCCGCGGCTATATCCAAAGTAGAGTTTATTGCCATTTGTAGCTGGAGTCACAGTCCCGTCAATGCTCCGACCCGGCACGAGGCCCCGCCCTCGGCGAGAGCTGTGGGGGCGCTCACGGAGCACATAACCTCGGCTCTCGCCCTGCTGCGCGGCCGCCAAACGGGGCTCCTTGGCACGGTCCATGATCCAGTCTGCGGGGGGGAGTCCCCCGGCCCTGAGCTGGGCAGGCCAGAGCGGGGCTCTGTGCACAGACAGTTGCGTATAAAAATCCATCCCACAGCGAGGCAGCTCCAGTCACCCCTTTCAAACAGCATCCAAGCGTCCCGGCCGCGCAGCAGCATCCACAGAGCCTCCCCATGCACCCCTGGCTTCCGCAGCCAGCCTGGGTGCGGGCTGCATGCGCCCTGCAGGGGGCTAAGGATGCAAAGATCCCTGCACTACCAACCCAAAGCTTTCCTTGTAGTGCCCAGCCACGGCTAGGTCAGTGTCTGGTTCCTGCCCCAGGCCCATTCCAGGCAGCAGCAGGGGCAGACGTGTCTCTTCTCTGCAACAACCGGCTTCCTCCAAAGCTCAGGCTGTGTCAAGCGAGCAGGGGCCCTGCTGAAGCGTGCAGCGAGGGCCCGTCTCCGACCGTGCAGCTTTCGTCCCCTGGCCGGGGTGCGAGGAGGCCCCCGACGGGTTGTCCAGCTGTGCAGTGTCCCACCACGACACTTCGCTCCTTCAGAGCCAGTGTCCGGGCAGCGCGCCGCGGCGCTCACGCTAGCTTGGAAAGGTCTCCACGAGAGAAGGGAGGAAACAACTTTGCAGGAGATTAAGTAGAAAGAGTTCAGTGGCTCTGCCCACTCCGAGGACAGAGCCACCTTACACCGCAGAGCCCCCCCCCCCCCGTCTCCTCCTCTGCCGACAGCACCTCTGCCGGCAGCCGGGACTGGAACTTCTGCAGCTGCTCGGGGCTGGCCAGGGTTTTCAGGAGGCTGTTCTCTCTCTCCAGCTGGGAGTTCTTCTCCACCAGGTCTTTGATCTGCTCTTTGAGGACCTCCACCTCCTCCCGCACGGCGTACATCAGGTGGTTCTTCACCAGGTCCTGGAGAGGAACCAGAGACAGGCTGTCTAGCCTCCCTTCCCCCTGCAAGCCAGCTGAGCCCAGCTGCCTGACCGGAGCAGGGGCAGTGGGCACGGGGCTCCCCAGCTGGAAGCAGGGTGCTATGATGGGTTTAGATGGGGCACTGCCCGCCTGGCGCCATGCAGAGCCCCCACCACGCAGCAGATCTGGACTGTTGGCGCTTGCTGGTGCGGCTCTGCCCCGCCCAGCAGTGCTCCGTGGCCGTGCACGCTCAGCCGCCCCCCAGCTCACGGCGAGGGGGACCCCGGGGCCCACTCTGCTTAAAGCCATTGTGCAGTTAGAAGGGCCGGGCCCCAGGCTGGCTGGAGGGATGCCAGCGGGCGCCCCGGGGTCAGGGGGGCCCTGCGCTGCCTCTCTGGCTGCCGGGGGCCAGGCCCCGCCCGGCCCTTC